CTCTCCAAGATCATACACAATTTATCATTTATTCCAAAAGTGGACTTCATACTAACTAAAATTGAATTGAGGGATTTTTTTATAATTCCCGGGTAAACGATCAAAAAATTATGGTTAGATAACACTATTCGTCAAATTGATGGCTAAGGTGTGGCAGGTGAGATACTCCTTTGCACGATGGGGTCAAATGAATTCATCACAACCCCGGCAGGGTTCCACCCATGGGTGGCAACAATTTTGGTCAACGGTCAAATTAAGCTCGTATGCATATAGTTACAAAACCAAAATTTTTTACTTACTAAACTCTTTTCAGAACTCAAAAATAAGAGCAATAATATGAAACTATAATACAGCGTTTTAAATGAATTCGGAGCTAAAGAACTTGATTTTATATTAGTAGCGATATGGATCTACAAATATGGTTCACTGTGCACTAGATCGTATCATCTTGCAAGCAAGAAAACAAAGTTCACAATACCCGCTGATTGTAAAATATTTTTGCAAACTATTTCGAAACAAAGATTTTTTTTGGCCAAACCAAGAGGTCGTCTTTTCATATTTTTCGGTGACTTCTACATTCGCCACGATTTTTTTTTTATAAACAGTTCTACAGAAATAATGAAAATACTTCCTTAGCAAAGATTTCATGATTTTTTGCTGAGCTATAGTTTACTGACATAAGGGTGGTAGGAACTGCGATCTCTACTTTCGACCAAAAATACTTTTATTTTCAAAATTGCCTTGAAAAAATACTTTAGAATCAGGTGTGTACGGCGAACTATTTCCGTTACTGTCTAAGCAAACCGTTAGTGGATTGCACACAAATATTTCCAAATTGGAGTTGTCTTAGAGAAAATCAGAAAAATTGCGTATTTTCTGGCATCGCACAAACTGTTGACCCTTGGTACGTAGGTAACATCATATCGTAGCAAACTACTTTGCAAAGATTACAATAAGACATAATTTACAAATAAAATAAAACGCCAATTAGGGGGAGGATACCGTATACCCTCATATTTTATTTTCATGACCCAGCTTAATGCATTTTAATGCAAGTTTTCCATTAAGCCGGCTATCAAAAGCGCATTTTCAGTATGTAAATACATATATTTTGTCTGACTTCATAATTGAAAGTGCAAAATGTCTATTTAGCATATATCGAGCTATCTTCTGTCCACACGATTATATCCACAACAGTTCTGTTTATTTAATTTTATTTTCGAGTTCACTTAAAGCTCGAGAGTCAGCTGTTATTACCTGTGTTGCTAATTAGATATTTTAACAACTCATAAATATTTTCTTACTCGTTGTGATTACTTAAATAATCAAATAAAATTAAATGGAGCAAGTACCTAGTACGGTAATTGGAAATAAAGTGCCTATAAATATGTGTACGTAGCGAAAATATAAATAGGGAAGAGACATTTTAGTATTCTTTGACTATTTCACTTTTGATTATTTAGTGCTTATTATATTTTTTTTTTATCAAAGTGTAGCAAAGTTTTACTAATATTCGTAAAAATGCAAAAAGTGCGTTCCATAATTATAGTACATCAGCCAAGCGCCATAAGTGAGAAGTTAGAAGTGCATGGTCTTATATGAATTCGCCTTGGCATGAATGGTATTTTTTCTTATAAAAAATGCATTTCACGTCAATAAAACATTCACTAAAAAACGTATACATGAAAGTATTCAAAATAGCAGTTCGGTGAGTTCAAAACGAAGACTCGATTAGTTTCTGTCAAAAATGGTTAACTTTGCACAAAACAGCGAGAGTTTGTTTCGAAGAACACTTAAAAAAATTGTCTGGTTCCTTTCACAACTTTCGAAACTGTTTAATTGTCAATTTTGGTTGTTTAAACTTTCCGTATTTTAGGCTAATTGACCTAATTGTAGTTGAGTGCAAGAATAACTTTCTTCTACGTCTTAAAATTTCCACTTGCCCATTACCACGAACTTTAACTGCCGCACAAATAACGATTAAGCTTTCACTTATACGCTACACTTATGGAATAAAAACTACTGCATCAGAATGGAGGTATCAAAATATTTTATAATGGCATTCTTTGATTGGGGCGGCATGCGTTTGAAAATAGTATGACTTAGGGATGGGTAATGGGGGGTTGAAATTCGATTTATTCCGAATTTCGAACATAGCCCAAGCTTTCGATTATTCGATTCGAATTTCGGAGGTGAAAATTCGATTTAATTCTAACTTTATCGAATTAAAAAAAAAAATATACATATTTTACTGAAAATTTAAAAGTTTGTTTATAAGAATGATAACACAAATCAAAATTGAAACTAATTTTTTGGCAGGTATTACGTGATTTTATTTATTTTTCTTGCTTTATCATACGTACGTTTATACTTATACAACAAATAAAAAAGTCTTACCTTTAATGACAACGTCTTATTTGCTTTTTAAAGCGAGATCTTTAAGTAAACAAGGAACAAAATAGATAATAGGGCATGAAGAGTTCTATCGAGCCACACTTTTGGTTTTTCCATAGCTAAATGGCTGGAATTTCTGACTTATGCCAAAAAATTCACTTCACATTTGTCATCAGTGATAAAAAAGGGAATGTCAATCAGCTGATACCAAAATTTGACGATAGTCTTTGACATGCATTGCGATATCAACATGTGGCCAGTTTTTATGATGTATTTGACACCAAGTGAACAGCTGTTAGTTAAGGCATAATGCAAACCAAGCATTAGATAAAGTTTTATGATCATAAAGTATCTGAAAACTGATTATTTTTTTGTGAATTCATTTGTATAGCTGGGATTTGTAACTATTTAAAGCAATAAATTTATTTTTATGACATTACTTATTTCACTTTTGGAGGGTGAATCAATTCCAAAGTGAATTAATGTCAACTGGCATTATTTCACTTTTGGCCTGTGTATTAATGCCATTGACATTATTGTCATGGAAGTGCAATTTTCCATTTTCTTGTATATTTTTAATTCAATCGCTGCATCGAAAATATTGAATTTTATATACGATGCATCGGTGCAATATTTTGTTGTATCAGATCGACAAAATGTCGATGTATTTCATTGACTTGCATCCTGCATCCCTAAGGCAAATATGCTTCGAATATCGAAGCTTCGAATATCGAATTTACCCATCCCTAGTATGACTAGAAGAGGTGAGTTTGGATTTATACGGTATTTAACTCGGTTTTTATGGCGATGTAAGGGCAGCTTAGCTGATGTGCTAAAATTACAAAACGCAGTATACTATATACATTAGGGTGGTCCAAAAATGTATGGGAGAAAAGTAAAATCGGAAATTTAATGCTCTCACCCCCTAGGATTGTTCTATACCGAAAAAAGTATACCCCTGTTTTTTTATTTTAAAATCAAAATATATCTAGAGGTCGCTCAAAGCGCTCAAAGTTTAAATAAACAATTGGGCATTATTCTCTGAAGTCTTCTGAAGAGAAGCAGAGTTTTCAGATTGAAAAATTTTGATTTCCATGGATTCTATGCCATTTCTACGAAAAGTCTTTTTTTCCCCATACAAAATACATGGGAAACTTTGAGAGCTGTGAGCGACCTCTAAATATATTTTGATTTTAAAATAAAAAACAGGGGTATATTTTTTTCGGTATATAACAATCCTAGGGGGTGAGAGCATTAAATTGCCGACTTTACTTTTTTTGGACCACCCTAATATACATATATACATCTATGTATAAACGTATGGAAATATGCATATACCACAATATATATTCATCTATACCTATATATTTCATATGGCAATTAGCGAATGTTTGTTCTTTTGTTGTTGGTGTTGCTTACAACACAGTCATTCATCATCAAATTATCATGTGATAAATGTTTAGCTGAAATATGACACGTTGTTGATAACTGGAAATAATACATATGTGTGTGTGTATGCACTTAGTACTTAGGTCTTACAATTTATAGTTAAATTTTTAAAAGATTTTTTTCAAAAGAAAATCGCTATGGGCAAATTACTTTAGTAGCATTTCCTTAAAAAGGCCGCTGTAAAAGTTTGTAACTTCGAGTTTCCCTTTTTTATTTACACATTGCCAGTTAGCTGAAAGGACGTCGTAATAAAAAAAAATAATTAAATTAAAATGTTATTCAGAAGTTTTTTTTCTGTTGGAAATTGAACATAAACCATATATGGACTACACATAGACAGTGTTCTTCTGCTTAGAAACGATAATTTAGTTTATTTTGTAAAGGTATGTTTACATTTAAATATAATCTTAATCAAAG